AGAGAGAGAGAGAGAGAGAGAGAGAGAGAGAGAGAGAGAGAGTTTACTCAATAATTAGACAATGCTCTGTGGTTGATAGGACTTCGCTGAAGTAGGGTACGGCCAAAAGAATTTTGGCAGCACTCCCCCTCCCCACTTGGGAATCGAGACAGCGAACAGGAGAAGTGGTAACGCTACACGAAGATGTGATGAAGTAGGGTAAGGCCAATTTTTTTTTGGCAGTGTTCTCCCTCCCCACTTGGGGATCGGGGTAGCGATAAGGAGAAGAGGTAACACTACGCGAGGTTCTGATCTGACAAGGAATCACTGAAGTTCAGCCGTAAGCAACTAGGTTCAGCTAGTCTGCTTGAACTTGATGGGCAAACAAAGTTGGCAATTTGCTAAAGATGACCGGGTGATGAAGTTGGGGCTTGAACTTCAAACGGAGCAACATCCAAGGGTAGGGGATTAGTAGGGGTAGGAAGAGCCCTACAAACAATAAGTTGTAGCAGGTGGTTCAAGCCCAGTGACGGGTGGTTTGGACGAATTGGATGAATCTCTTATTCCCTTTTCCCGCCCTTCTCGACCCATTCTTCTACCTCTCGTTTTCTCTCTCCTCTCGTTTTCTACCTACCTCGTCGCATTACCGCAAGGATGGCTCTCGTGGTAATTTGTGGCTGTCCTGACCCATAATGTATTGAGCCTCTTCCTGTGTTCTCCGTCTGTTCTCTGTCATTAAAGCTTTCCCTCCCTTTCAAAATCTTGCTGCTCGTGCAATCCTCCCTGTCCTTCCCTGGCCTTCCCTCTCTCCCCTACCTTTCCTTCTGTCTTCCACTTGCTGTCCCGTAGTCCGTATTGCCCTCTGATATGTGCTGAGCGCAGTCCTATGGTCCCTAGGGATGGATATAGTCCGTTTCTCCACCGCCTTTACTGCCGACTCCTTCAGCGGCGCGAATGACTTTCTTCTCTCTTCTGGTAGTCACCCTCTCCCTTTTCCGGATGGTGTTACTACTGTTAACTCTAGTGCCCGACTTCTTTTGTTCGTTCGGGATTGCTTGCATCTGTTCATAGCTTTGCCACAGATTCGCAACGAGGAATCTTTTTGTTAAGTTTTTTTTATAGCCAGCCCATCTTTGGTTCTTTGAAAAAAGAATAGAATGATTGGCGCCTACAATCACCTATCTGAAATCGAACAGATTCTCAAACTACATCGTTGTTCGTGCCTGTAGGAAATCTGGATCAGAGCTCCTCTTGCCTTGTGCTGTCTTGATTTGGTGAAGAAAGGTTTGTCTATTGTTGGGAAAGTACCATCGAGACTGACTTCTCCTCGATTATGTTGAAGACATTCGGGTACCTTCTTTGGCCGAACCGTATTGGATTCTTGTCGAAGGTGCTCGATGCTCTTTTCCGCCCCGTTGTCCTCAAGTAGTGCTGGTCCGTTCTTGTCCGTCCCTGATTCCCTGATCTCGACTGGAAGAGAGAGAGAGAGAGAGAGAGAGAGAGAGAGAGAGAGAGAGAGAGGTGACAGATGCGGTTGTACAGTGGGTGGAGGAACGAGGGATGGTAATCAGGAAAATCGGGGTGGAAGCAGGAGATCAGGATTGAGAGGGAGACTCCTGTGACAAACAGAATACGTGAGGTTGGGGTGGGAACAGGGGGGCAGATGATGGAGTGCAAGGAGGGCATTGCAGATAGAGGAGTGCACTGTGGCAGAATAACAGAGGCCTTCGAGATTGTTTAAGGGGGCAGGGGGACAGACATTCAGACTGTTAAAATGGAGGATGCCACAGGGAACAATGGGAAGCAGTAGGAGGATGAAGCGGAGACCGTGTTACAAGGTAAAGAGGGAAGAAGGGGTAGGAGGCAGGAGGTTGGGTTGAAGGAATGAACCAGAACAGATTCTTGGGGATAGGGATTGTTTGGGTAGGGGAATCCGATGTGGTGGCAACCAATCGATAAGGGGATGGGGTTATGGGAACTGATGATGGTTATCTGTAAACCATGTGACCTGTAAGAAGAGGAGGAGAGGAAGACGAGGGAGGAGGGAAGAGGGTGGATGATGACGGAATGTGGATAGAGGTTGTGGAACATGATGTCCGGATGTGTGAGGAGGAGGTGTGGGATTGGGATGAGAACAGGGGGTTGGCAATTGTGGGAGTGACAGTTAGTGACTCTCTCTCTCTCTCTCTCTCTCTCTCTCTCTCTCTCTCTCTCTCTCTCTCTCTCTCTCTCTCTCTCTCTCGGTATGATGCACTTGGGATGGGGTGGCTGGTGGAGGAGTAGGAGGTGGTAGAGGTAGAGTAGAAGAATGTGGTGGAGGAGGTGGTGGGCCAGGAGGAGGAGAGGAGGACATCAGTCAGGATTATAATGGATGAGAAGGGAAGGGTTCTCTGATTATGGTTGTCACTTCTTCATCCTCGTTCTCTGTCAAATTTTCCAATTGCAATGGATTGTTTGCATTTGACTTCATCTTCTTTGATGTTTGGTCATACCATATTGAATTCTAAATTGTTTCGCTATTCTTGAAAATTTCTCTCAAAATGCTTACCCTTCGGTGATGTCTTCTTGCTGCCTGTGTGATAACCTCTCACTGGGAGAAGAAACTTTTGAGCGATTCTTAGCAAAAAAATTCCCATCTGCAAAACGGTTTGGCATAGAGGGCTGTGAGAGCCTCATTCCGGGTCTCTTTTCTCTATTCAAGGTGAGTGATCTTCTTATTTATATCTCCCATCATTAATACCCTCAAACCAAGAGAAGCTCACAGAATTCCACTAATTATGGCCTGGAAATGATTCCCGATCGTTGCACCACAACTCTGAAATGGAAATGAGTCTCTATCGTTGCCTGAAGTGCCTGGAAATGTTTCCCAATTCCAGATGAGATGGAGGTGTAGGTTGGGTGGATAGTTGTGGCTATTGCCGGTCCTGATGGTGTTGTCTATGTTATTGAATTTAACTTAATTATGCACTGGATGATCACAAAGGGCACTATGGAGAATACTTCTTTTTTGCCTTAATATTTCATTCACTCAGCGTCCAGGTCCAAGTTGTCTGTGGAGGCGTTTGTTTTTGCTTCCTTGCTGTCTTTCTCTTCTACGGAAGCATTTGTGTGTGTTTAATGTGGGAGTGACGAACCTTCTGAACTTTGCGGTCATACTATCAATATTCTGTGTGTTTATGGTGGGGAGTGATGCGCATTGCAGCAATGGACTGTCTCAACTTTGCGGTCATGCAATCAATATTTGATGTGCCTTTGTTCATCTTCCTTCCGTCCTGCCTCTTTCCTCCCTCCCCTTCCCTCCCCTTTCCTTCACTTGGCTTCCCTTCCCTTCCCTTCCCTTCTCTCTCTGTCCCTCCCTACCGCTTTCCTCGCATCACCCTCCCTGCACTTCCCTCCCCGTTGCTTTCGTCCCTTCCTCTCTCTCTGTCCCTCCCTCCCTTCCCTTCTTCCTTCCTTCCATCTGTGTGTGCTTGTTGTGGAAGTCATGTGCATTGGAGCAGTGTACTTTTTTTTTTCTCAACAACACAATGTCCCTTCGATTCTGGGGGGCATCAGTCCGGTTGCTTATTACTGGCAAGCACGAAGGTATAAGTGATAGAGAAAGAACAAGAGACAGCCTTGCCCTTGTGGCACTAGACGCCTCTGCAAAGGGGGAACTGCTATGATTCGACCCACCCTCCAAGCCCTGTCCTTCCCTCAAGGGGTGCTTCTGCTGGCCGGGTAGCTTAATGGCAGCACCCAGTCATGCGGCAGGAGGATTCCAAGGGAGGCAGGGTGTGTGGGGGGGGGTCGTTCGTAGCGTTCTCTCAGGCCACATGTATCGTCCCATCAGTCAAACTCCCTAAAGCCTTATTGCTCACGCCATCCTTCTACATTGTCTATGCTTACCCTACAATATCCCAGTCCTTGCCTGTACAACTCCTTTGTTCCACTTAACCTATCACCCTCCATTGTTCTCCTTCCCGCACCTTTGGTTTTTTTTTTTTTTTTTTTTTTTTTTTTCAAAAAAACAGAACCTTACGGTTCTGGCTCCTTTTCCATTCTGGGGAGCATCAGTCCGGTTCCTATTCCACCGTCAAGTCAGAAATGATTACAAAGGTACTCACAAACGCTCCTCCCCTTTATGGTAGGAAGGCCCGAAAGAAGGCATTGATTACTTCCCACGGGAAGGATGTACCATCATTCACCCCTGCCTAAGTTAGCCTATTTGACGTAATCCTGGGCTTATAAGGCCTGTCGAAGTTGTGAACTCTGTAATGTGGTATCTGTCTAACGTACTATCCGATCTTTCCCTAGTTCTTCCTCTCAGCTATAAGGCTGTCAGATCTGTGTGTATTGCTGGTAGAGCTAGGTTTATCTTCCGCTGGTCTTTAGTCGTAATTT